ATAATATACAGAATGCAAAACGTAATTCGTATAATCATAGGGACATATCGTCATTCCAGCAAGACAATTTTTTTATTAACATATTTTTTTGTATAAGACTACCTAATTATTGGACACCGAGAAATAGCTTGAAACTTATTCTACATTGGGCTTATGCATAAAAATTCATTACATTGAATATAATACAAAATGCAAAACGTAATTTGTATAATCATAGGGACATAATCGTCATTCAAGCAAGACAATTTTTTTATTAACACATTTTATTGTATAAGACTACCTAATCATTGGACACCAATAATGTTAAGAAGCCAACTGTTGGTTCCGTTATGGAACCAACAGCCAATGAGATAGTTCCAGTGAGACATCACCAACAGCCACATGAAGTTGTCCCATTGGTTGTTGGCTCCATAACAGAGCCAACAGTTGACTCCTTAGCATTACAGTCATTGAACACGGAGAAATAGCTAGAAACTTATTCTACATTAGGATTAGGCTTAAAACTATTTTTCGAACCGAGTTATTTGTGAACATAGTTTTTTTCGACTTGTTAAAATTTAAGGTCTAACTCGTTTGTATACTTAAACGGGTTGAGCTTAAAAAACTAATCAAATTATTTCTAACCACGATAAGTCGAGCGAACTCTCGAGCAACTCGATTAGAATTTAGATTTTGATTTTTGAGCTTTGGTTTCAGCTTTTGAATTTATTAAATGAGTCAAAACAAACTTACGTGAATAGAGTTTGATATCACTTTTTTTTTTTATTTATTAAATATGTCAAATAGAGTGAGCTCATTTATAAAATCAGCGTAAGTTATTCGAGTCGACTAAGCTTGGATAATACCTCGAAATAGCCACATGTATAAATAAATCAAAGCATCAACTAACTCTTAAATATTTGATAAGTTATATGAATCACGTAATGAATTAATGAAAATATATTAATAGAATGTAAATGTATAAGACTAATGGGCTACTCCTCCTTCCACCAATTGGTTTTGGGATGGAACCTCATTTGGGCTTCATATGGGTTTTTTCCTTCTTTCATGGTGTCCTTCATGGTAGTGGGCCAGCACCCATTTTCCCCCAGTTTCTGTCATGGTATCAGAGCCGGTTCTATCTTGGACCGTGTGATGACGTACCCATTGTTTATCCCCCACGTACCCGTTTATGGGAGTCTGTTTGTAGTAGGGCTTGGGGTACCCAGCCCAGTTGGGTTTGGGCTTTCGAAGGACTCACAAGTGAGGGGGCGTGTTAGAATATCACTTGTGAGTTGTCCCACATCGTTCATATATGGTAAATAGACCCACCTTATAAGACTAATGGGCTACTCCTCCTTCCACTAATTGGTTTTGGGATGGAACCTCATTTGGGCTTCATATGGGTTTTTTCCTTCTTTCATGGTGTCCTTCATGGTAGTGGGCCAGCACCCATTTTCCCCCAGTTTCTGTCAATTGCAAAGAATGTCATGAGACTATCAAACAATGTATATTGATCCATGATATTTGTTGGATGACATGTTAAGATTTTATAAAAATCTAAAATTTAATAAAATAAAATTATGCCTATTTAATTTTTTATTTTTAACTAAAATAAATTGAATAATTTAGTGTTATTTAAAGTTGGCTAAACTAATTTAATGTGGACTATAATATTTTTTTAGTAATAAATATTTAGAGAACCGAAAAATTATCGGGTTGGAGCCGACCCCAGTCTTTTAGATGGTTCCTACCTAAAAAAAAGGATTAAGGGGTTGACGCATCATACTTTAAAAAAACAAAAAAGCTAAAAATGTATATTTATGCTATGAAATGTCATACTTTTATTTGTGCTAATTTTTAATGTAATACATTTTAGTTGAAAGTATGCATATCTTAAGAAAAATATTGTTGTCTAAATGTTAGGTCTGTCTAACAGTTGTCTAATTATTCCAACAAAGGCTATGACCAGTAAATAATAACTACACATTAATATATTATTCAAATTGAATGGTTCACGAAAATAACTCGATTTGACTCATGAAAGCTTGAGCACATGAGTTGAACTCGAACAATTAATCAAGCATGTTTACTAAACGAGCCGAACCGAACTTCTTCACAAATAGTTTTTTACTATTTTTTTTTCTTTTATGGATTTTAAATAAAATAGGGTGACTATCTTGTTTGCAAGCAGCCTGTTTAGTATTTTAAGTTTCTTAAACGAGTCGAACAAAGCTTGCGAGAACTTAAACTGGCCAAGCTTTTGTTCGTCGATTATACAATCACAAGCTCGAACATGAGCTACTCGGTTTGACTCGATTAACACCCTAATGATAACCCGGATATCTAGATTACACATAAAATTTTAAAAAATGAGTGTATCTTTTTGAAGTAAACAAAGTTGTCCTTCTGAAGTTATATATAGCCTTTACAAAACGTTTTTCAGTAGCCAAAACTAGGGCCAAATGGAGCTTACTTCGCTTTTACACTGCTTTGATATAATTTGAAGTCACGCTGATCTTGGTCAAGCAAGAGAATCACTTGTTGTAATGGCTATTAGTTTGGATTAGGAGCATATTTTAAATTTTCCACTAACGCGAAAAGAAGATAAGAACTGCAGTAGCCAGTAGTATGTGAAAAATAGATCTTTTAAATGCGTATAATAAAAAAAGGAGGGTACAAGTAATTTCACTTAATGATTTTAATGAGCACTGATCCGTAAAAGGATGAGCATTTTTGTTTATTTTTGGTCCAGACAAAGCACTGACATTGGCATAATTGAGATTTGGGCTTGTCTAATTACTTGGATCAGATCTGTTTAGTCATTCGACTTTGAATTGGAGTTTTAAATATGGGAGCTTTACTTTATATTTCTTATTATTTTGTCTTTGAATTTGGGGGAAAAAAATCTATGTGTTGAGTTGTGTGGCAGCCAACAGCGGTGGGCTTAGTAGAAGTATAGAAAGATTTATTTTAATTTTTGCTGAGGTGTGTGTTTTGCTTTTATTTTTCTTTTAGCTTTTTGGGTTTCAGTCATGTTTGGATTGTAGTAGTTGATTCTCATTCAACAGAAATAGCGTAAACAATATATAAATTCAAGTTTTCAGTATATACACCAATATAAGGTCTTACAGTAAAAATCCCAAGGTCATTCGAGGCAGCCCCGAGACGTTCGTCGACCGCGTGCGCCACCGCGCCGCAGAAGGACACGAGCGACACTGTAGCCACAGTTGATCAACGCAGTCGTTGCCAATCGTTGCATCCGCATGCCGCATGCCGCAGCTGATTGCTGCAGCCACACGATGCAAGCCGAGTCGGTCGACGTAGTGAAGCGCGACGCAACTAACACCACCGCATCCCCGACGATAGTTGAGCCATCGGACATACGAGAATGACGAGGCGAGAAGAACTTCTCAAAATCATTCTTTCGGCCTTGTAGGCCGTGTAAGTCTATATAGAGTCTACACGTTTAAGTCGTAAGTGTTTAAACTCTACTTTAGTCCGCTGCGCTTTAAACTTATTTTCCGTAGGCTAGATCTGTCACTTGCATGATTCAACATTCTTCATAGAACTCTAACATTTTTGTCATTAGTTTTTGTAGGAAATATGCCAAAAAAGCATTAAAAATGGAGTTGGGATGAAAAATGGCGAAAATGAGGTGCACGAGATACCACATGACTCGTGTGAGGTGATCCATAAGCCACATGGGTCGTGTGGTGAAGGAATAAAAGGAATTTAGATTCGACCTTTCCACGCGACTCGTGTGGTTGTGGGACACGTGTCATGTGGGGTCACACAACTCGTGTGACCAGTCGTGTAGGTCTGGAGGGTTGCACGAATCTTGAGAAAAATGCCACACGACTCTTGCGACTATGATCCTTAAGTCACACAAGTCGTGTGACGCGGAGTCCAACCTGACGAGGATTAAGATTTTATGCAATTTTCTTTTATTATTCAATATACATTCGGCCTACATTATAAAAGAGACTTAGAGAACTCGGTTTTGGAGACTATCGACACTTTTGGAGATCGAGAAAAAGCACAAGACGCGCGAGGGATTCAGAGGAGTCAAGATTGAAGATTCGGGAACAAAGTGACAATATTTCTTTTTTCTTTTCTCTTTTTTCTTCTTCATTTAACTCATGTATTTATTTATTTTGAGATCCGAGAATGTATTTATTAGCTATGAGATTCTAGAATTTGGAAGTACTCGAATTATTTTATGAAGTAATTATATTTATTCATTCCGGTCTATCTTTTGTTTGTTAATTTTTTGTGCTTATATTTATTATGTGAATATAGGGGCTAAATTTATGCATATTTATGATTGGTTGAGAACGTGAGAAGATAGTTGATTGCTAGAATTGAGAATTGATAACTTAGAGCACCCACAATGCTTTGGGTCTCTTTAAAAAAAATCACATGCTATGTAGGAAATAGACCTAGTCTATAAAAAAGTGTTTCATAATGCAATTAAAAGTAGACATAATCTAGCTTATGTAGCAATAAAAAAAGAGACTAAGTTCACTCTTGGGTCTATTTTGGACCCAACTATGAACCTTACAATAACAATCATTTACCATTATTATATTTTTATTGGTTGTTAGGTATTTAGATTTTGGATTTTTTAGCTTGGGTTTGTCCATATCATTATAGACTTAAGTCTATTTATTTGCCACATATACAAAAAGAGACCTAAAGCATTGTGGGTGCTCTTAAGAGACTAAACAGACCAATATGTTGATAGAATCTTGCGACGGAACTGGAATTTTAAGAACCATGAGAGTTAATTGTTCATATTGAGACCGAAAGGAGATATATAGCAATTAATCAACGATTTAACTTGCTTGAGAGAGAGATTAAATTACTTTAGTGATTATCCACATGATTGGCGGAATTAAATAAAATTTGAATGAATATAATTTTTCTTTTTGTAGAACAATTCGAAGTAAACTTAGCTTAAAATTAACATTTTCGAATTAGCAAAAGCCTTCATTAGTTGTTAGAATATATTTCGTTATTCATTAATTTAATTGTAGAACTTAAATCAGATTTGCATTAATCTAAATAATATTTAATCGTCTATATTTTAATAGTTAATTATTTTGACAACAATTTTTGTGAAATGATCCTACTTGTTGTTTGTTATAATTACACCGTACACTTGCGGGTAGTGAAAGTATTTTGCAAAGATTTATATTCTATATGAGATGATTTATATTACAATATACTCGATTAGATATTGTTTGTTTCCTTATTTCAATCTTTAAGGCTTATTTAAAAAAAAAATGAAAAGTTAGCCTCATAATTAGAACATATTTTTGTTTGTTAATCATTGAGGTCTCATTTTAAAAAATATATAAATCGGCATACAGTGAATTCGAATCCATAATCTCTATGGCTCAAATATCACCAAGAATAAGATTTAACTGTGGTAAAATGGTAATGTCTCCGATCAGTAAATGACAAGTGGTTTAACTTTAACACAGCCTATGACACTATGTCCCTATCATTTGTCAACTACGAATGAATTTTCTTATTAATTTACCAATATCTATAAAAGTAAAAATTCAAAAGAATCGAACGTTACATGATAATAACTGTTCAAAGACGTGGGACCCACCCAAAGGCTGTAAAAAGAGCATTCTCAATGGATCACACCAATAAAGAAATAATTTAAAATTTGTGGTCACAGTAAATAACTACAGATACTTGGACTCTCCACACACCTGTGGCCTAAACTTTTTCCTCCTAACGTTTGCCTTTTCGTTTAAATTTCAAATTTTGTGTCTCAAAAGACAGTGATTATATATGCCCCAAAAAATTAAAACCGAAGGATCACGCCAGACAGCAAGATCAATGGAGATTTTATTTTTTAAATTTTTTTAGTTCCGTCTGTGTTTTTCTTTTTTCTGCTCTATTCTTCTGCATAAGCCCTCTGTAATGGGGGAATCAACTTGTCTCTTGCATGGCTTCTCTTATGCTTCTGCCATACCCAATGAGTCCAAACAGGTAAAAATACGAAAGATCCAAGAAATTACAAAGGCACCATTTTTCTCTTTGGGTTTCTTGTTATTGTTACATTTTCTTTCAGTTTTTAGGACAAAATTGATTTTTTTGAAGGAGTTTAGTTTCTTCAATAACAGAAAAGGTGCTGAAAGATTATAGTTCAGTAGTATGTAGAATCTGCAACTACTTTTCGATATAGAACAGAAATTAATGGTCTGGAATGAAGAAGAAGAAGAACAAGAACAAGAAACTGCTGTTATGAATTATGATTCTTGGAATTCGAATTTTAGTTTAAAAAAAAATATATATTGTTTTTGTACTCTTGATTCAGTTAAAGTTTTCAGGGAAACTGTAAAAATATAATCTTGCATTGCGCTTTTCAGGGGAACGCAATGCACGCCCTTGGCGAATCAATCTCATTTGGGAGATTTATGACAGAGTCTTTATCATGGGAAAAATGGTCATCATTTTCTTCTTCGACATCCTCACACAAGAAGTATGTGGAGGAGGCCGAGAGATATGCCCGGCCGGGCTCAGTGGCCCAGAAAAAGGCCTTCTTTGAGGCCCATTACAAGAGAATGGCGGCCCAAAAGGCCGCAGCTCTACTAGAGCAACAAAACGCTGCTGCTGGTGCTGCTAAAACAGAACTTTATGAGGATCGCAATGTACATGATCATCAGCAAAAAGGAGGGATTTTGGATTCTCAATTGGATTTTGTTGAGAAAAATGAGGATGTCAAAGTTGAGGATGTTAGAGAAGATAAAGTGGATTGGAATAATCATATGGATGAGGATAGGGTTTGTAAAGAGGGGGAAAATGTGATAAATGCAGAAATTGAAGGCTCAGGAGAAAGCCCTGTAGAGAGAAGAATCTCTGTTTCAGGGTCTGAGATTAGTGGAACTCCACTGATGGAGTTGCCTTTGCTAAAGGTGGTAGTTTTTTTTTTTTTTTTNGGAAATTCCAATACTTATAAACAAACATGCTCTGAGTCCTTTACCTATAAGAATTGACAAGAAGAGTAGTCTTCTGGAAGTACTAGTTTTGAACAAGGATAGCAATTTCTTAAAAGCTTTTGATTTTTACAAAAGATTTCGCCGGAATAAGTTCCTAGAAGTTTTGAATTTGGGTTGACCATAAACTGTGATCAAGAGTTCTTCCCTACTTATTTCTTTCTAGTTAATATCTTTGCATGACATTATTGCCTATTGTATAGTTTGATGAATTGACATTTATAATTTCCCTCTCCATATGCTAGTGTTGTCTTGCTACATAGTTCTGATGCTAGTGAGATGTCTTATTGATTGTGAAATTTATTGCAATTTATATCATTTTTTTTTTTTTTTAGTCTTGAAAAATGTTTGCAATACGTGTTGTATGATATTGATTGTTTGTTTATGAATGCAGAGCAATTCAGCTGTGACAGAGGAAGTTCAATCAGCAGAGAGCAAGAAAAAATCAAGCCTCGCCAGTTTAAAATCATCGATAAGGCGTAAAACGTGGAAAATCCCGTCTACACCTGCAAGACCACCAGTTACTACTAATACTACTCCTCAATTCAAGAAAGATATTTCCCAAAGCACAAGAAAGTCTAATGTGGACACTACAGACAAAAAAAGAAACTCCACAAAGTCTTTACGCGAACTGATTAGCTTAGTTCCCGTTAAAGAACCTGATAAGCAGCCTTCTTTAGCCACCATCAAAGGTGTTAGTTTGATCAAAACACCTAAAATTTGCAGGACGCCAATTAGAACCCCAGCTGTGGTGATTTTCTTTTCTTACACCCTTTTGCTTTCATTTCCTCCTAAATTTCTTACTGATTGTTTTGCAAACATAAGGAATAAAGCAAGTTTCAACTTCAAGATGGAAAATTTCTGAGTTAACTGTTTGCAAACTTGAAGTGTTGTTTTATTAAATAGTTTTAGGGGTTAATAATATATGAAGTTTGTGTTGCAATGCAGGGAACATCAAAGGCTGTGACAAAAGATTCTGCATATACTCCTTTAACAGAGAGAAGAAGGTGCCTAATCTATTATTCTAATGATTCGAGTGCGTATATTAAGTAATCAGTAGGACTGTACCAATGGCTGATGATTTTTGGAACTTTTATGTAACAAAATACTTTCAAAAATTTCAGGATGAAAACACCGATTGACTCGTCTGCTGCCTGTGGAAGCAAAACAATGGGTCCCAAATGGCACATTTTGTCTGCTCTGTAAGTCTGAGCTCTGAGTTATTGCAGTTAAATATGATAATATTGTAGAAAAATACAATATATAAATAGTGGAGCTTATGGATAGTAAGAATATGAGATACCCTTAATCTGAGAGAAACCTCTATGTGATGTGTGGCTACTTGTTAGACTGTATTTTCCTGGAGTAAGAAGACTTAATAATGTAATCAATAAAGAGATTTTAGTGTTGATTTTGTAGGAATATTATTTATTTATTAACTTATGAATTATTTCTTACATATGAATTTATTTCAGTAGTTCTAAGTCGGTGACTGCCTGTCGCAACAAACTACAATCACCGAGCTTATCAACCCCTTTTACTCTCAGAACAGAAGAACGAGCTACGAAAAGAAAACAGGTAAGACTCTTTTGCATATTTTGAGGTTGAGTTAGAAAAAAAAAAATCACATTGAGGTTCAGTCACATACACATAGAACAACAACAACAACATAGAACATAAAATAAAAAATGAGAAATCGCAATTATCCTCTAAAATTCACTACTAATAGTACTCCAGTTAGAGTATTACTAAAAACACCGTCAAAATTTGCTTCTACTTAACAAAATTTTAGTCTACACTTGAAGGATATCTTTCATAACTAACCTTGCATATTGTTTTCTTGGAGATAATTTATAAGTTGTTTTATTTAATATGCCTTTATCCTAACACTTTTCAGAAGCTTGAAGAAAAGTTCAATGCCAATGCAGTGCAAAAGAAGGTTGAGCAACAAAACAAATTGAAGGTAATTCGTTTGGAGCCAAAATGTGATGTCATTATTGTTGGAAACACATGATTTGGAGTTTAACTTAACTTATCCATTGTTGTGCAGGATAAAGCCGGAAGCGAACTTCGGAAGCTAAGTTGTACTTTCTGCTTCAAAGCTCGACCCTTGCCCAGCTTTTACAAGGAAAGGGAAATCTCGGTCAGTCAGACAAGGAAGGTAATGCAAGAAGAAATTAACTTGTTATTTGTTTGTGAATTGTTTTTCTGTCATCTTTTCTTTATTGTTGTGTTGAGCAAGCTGAAAAGTGATTATTTTTATCTACTTTTAATAATAAACCAATTATATGTAGACTCAGACAGCAGTACTAGGAAGAAGCATTTCGAACAAGAAGAAGAATCAAGGCACTATCTCAATGCCTCCTCCTCCTCCGCCTCCAAAATATACAGTCAAAAATGGATTTTCAAAGAAACTCTCCAAAAACAAAGTTGCTGCAAATGGACACAAATGTCCCAATCCTTCATTAACCATTGCACGCGAGAACAAGTCCCCAAATATTGTACATTGAAGCAGACACTTGTATTTTTTCGCAGGAAAATGAAGCTCAGTTTGAATATTGATCATTGGAGGTGTGTTAATATTGAGTGTTAATGTATCCATAATATGCCCTTGCTTGCAGTAGTTGAAGGAGTTTGTAACATGATTCTATGGAAACAAATGTTTGGAGACAAAAATAGATACATACCCTGCCTCAATTGCAATTGCTGGACAATTTTTGCCCCTAAAACTAGTAATTTTTTTTGGAATCTTGTTTGTATTCATATCTGCTGATAATAAGAATAACAATAATTGATAATAATAATAATAATAATAATATAACAAATAGAATCAAAATTTACCGAACTCTCCAAACAAAAAAACAGATAAATGGTAAACTAAAAACAACGGAATTACTAGCACTTTAACAAACAAGTTATGTATATTCAAAATCAAGTAAAATTATTAGTTGCTGTCATGGCAAAACACAGTAATCAAAGAGATATCTTATCAACAAATCAACAACAAATCTGATTAGCACGCTCTCCACCTCGCAAAAACTTAATCTTATACTAATAATTTCTCTCGAGAATAGAAAATTTATTCATCATCAAAATCCTTATCCTCCTCATCTCCGTCGTCTGAGTAGTCATCAGCTTTCAATCTCGTGCTGTCGGCCCATTTTGATGTGCTCCTAGACCTGAAATGTCGATTGGCGTCGCAGTTGCGCTTGCTTGTGGGCTTAGAGTGGTTGGTGGGCCTGGACGGGACCTTTGTGAACGGGCCTGCAGTGGGCGGGCCGGCTAGCTGGTTGAGGATTCTGGACTTGGGCCGCGGGTCCAACGGAGCTGGACTTGTTCGGACCATGCCGTGCGGGCGGCCTTCTCTTCTCATTGTGTTCTTCTTGTTGGCGAGCTTCAAGTCAATGGTGATGAGTGGATGTGTGGGTTTGGGGTGTCCTTAAATATAGAGATAAAGGCGGTTCCGATAATTCAAGTTTTGGTAGGAGATTTGATTGGGCAGCACGCAATCTTTTCAAACGCCACTAGAGATGGATTTCAAATTATTTTTAGATTGCCCGAATTTGAACTTGGGCAGCAAGGTGGTCAACACATAATTTACTTTCTTTTCCGCCTTTGGTCAAAGACTGGAGATATTAATCGAAGGGTAAAGTCCACTTTTAGTCCTCCATGTTTAGGGGGTATCCAGACTGAGTCCCTATTATGTTTTGGTGTTCAATTTTAGTCCTTAAAACAAAAAAATGCAGTCCCTATGATAGGAAAAAATCCAATTTTAGTCCTCCATGTTTAGGGGTATCCAGACTTAATCCCTATTATGTTTTGATGCCCAATTTTAGTCCATAAAACAAAAAAATGTAGTCCATTTACCTCAATTTCTGTGAATTAACGGTCCATTTTTTTTCGACTGTGATGTTCTTTATTTTTTTAAAATTTGTTGATTAATGTCAACTTTGACCAAAGAAAAATAAAACAAAATTTAAATGCTGAAAATATATTAATCAAAAATTAAACTAAAACAAGAAATTGCACCAAATTAAATTAAAATTTTTGCTCGTCTGATTTCTATTTCCCTAGCATTCGCGCTGCGGAGCAAGCCTGGAATCACAGCTACTGCTCTTGCACCCATTTCCGGGTCATGCCATCGAAAAAAATTGCACCTATCAACCCTCTGTTTTTTAACCATTTCTTATCATATTCCAATTGAAGTTCACAGAAAGTACTTACAGGATATAGAGGGCAACTCAAGAATCTTCTCTCGGGATTATCATCCTTCCAGCATGTAGTCAACTTTGCAACCTGCTCACATCTACAAAATACCACGCCATTTCCATCCATTTGATCGGATTTAGTCTCTAGGCGGTCAGGTTTTTTTTTTCTACGTTTCACTGCAGTTCACCATTTTTGCCTTTTATTTTACCTTTTTCCAGCATTTAAATTTTCTTTTATTTTTCTTTGGTCAAAGTTGACATTAGTCAACAAATTTTAAAAAAATGAAGAACATAACGGTCGAGCAAAAATGGACCGTTACTTCACATAAATTGAGGTAAAGCGACTACATTTTTTGTTTTAAGGACTAAAATTGAGCATCAAAACATAATAGGGATTAAGTCTGGATACCCCTAAACATGGAGGACTAAAAGTGGATTTTTCCCTATTATAAGGACTACATTTTTTTGTTTTAAGGACTAAAATTGGGCACTAAAACATAATAGGGACTCAGTCTGGATACCCCCTAAACATGGAGGACCAAAAGTGGACTTTCCCCTTAATCGAATATCTAAGTAGCGATCTTTTACTATAACTAACATGGCTCTCTACCTATAACTAATAAGGCTGGGTGTGAAGTTCTCAGAATTTCCAACCATCTATACTTATATTAAAAGGTATACCATTTACCAAATTTAGTATAAAGAAAAGTTAATAACATTTATTGTATTACTATTTTCGTATTATACAATCTATACTTATATAAAAGGAGATTCTATTTACTATATTTACTATCAAGAAAAGTCAACTGCATTAAATGTCATTATTATTTTGGTATTATAATATTTTATTTATTTAATTGATTTATTTATTTGTTTTATTTAAAAAAGTAAGTATAATAAAAGATTTTAATAATAAAAAAATCAAAATACCAAATAAAAATGTACACTTTGACTTATTTGATTATATTTGGTATTTGATTATACCAAATATATTCCTATTTAGTATATACATTAAATACTTACTAAAGTATTTATTTGTTTTATTTGTTAAAGTTAAGTATAGATTTGTTTATATTATCAAATCATAAAAAAAATATTAAATCCATATTGTAAAAAAAAATCATATAATTTTATAACAATTCTACTACACTATTTAACAATATTTCTTTTTTATTATAAAATAAAATAATAATTAAATATTATATGGTGAACAACAATAAGTAAAACTGTTACTTTCTCTTATATCAAGGGATAAATTTATATGCTAAAATTAAATTTTTATTAGTATAATGTTTTGGTGAGATAATATATTAATTATTTTACAAGTTAGCCCTAACATGCTCATATTTAATCTTTTAAAAGATGTAGAAAAAAAACTTATAATAACTCTATTGTTTTTTAGACTTAAACGTTGATTAAAAGAGGTAAAAATTCCTAATTTTTTAGACTTAAACGTTGATTAACACCACAGATTGAGAGTTTATATTTAATAAACTTCTTAATTGTAATAAAAAAATTAATTTTTGCTATATTTTAGAATATTTTTAAATTCATTATAAAAAAAGAAAGAAAAAAAATACAATGAAAAAAGCAAGTCAGCTATATATCGATTTGTTGTACTCCTCAAATCACATTCACAATTTGGCTACAAGGAAAGGAAACTCATTGATTAAAATATTATTTTATCAGTAGTCTTAATGTACAAGATACTTTAAGACTCCACTTGAATATTATAAAACTTTTATTGAACATTGTACAATTTTCTTGCGTATTATAAACTCTTATTGAATATTGCATCTTATAATATAATATTTTCCAAATAAATATATCTCGTGCTTTGCACGGGTCACGTACTATATATATCCCGTACATTTTTCTTTATTCATGTATATAATTATAAGCCTAGATAAATAGCCTTAAAATTGTGCACCCCGTGCATCGCACGGGCTCTGTACTAGTTTCGACTTAACTGAAAAACCCAAATTAAGAACCAGTTATAATATTAGATGTCTTGTTAATAGATTATATATCATGTTTAATTCTATATAATTTGAGTATCTTTAAAATCTTAATAACATATAATAATAACAATCAAATTTTACTTAAATTTTATTCTTAATAATAATTACAATTAATGAAAAAAATGTATTTATATTATATTCGTTGATACTTTTCTTAGTCTTATTCCATCTTGTAACTACAATGGTACGAAACGTCAAAGAAATACTTAAAAAAATAATTATATTATATATTATTTTGATACCAAATATTTATCATTAGTTGCACAAATTAGTCTTACCTAAAATTTTGAGGTAGTTCAATTTTTCTAAAGTTGATTTCAAATATTTAATATGGTAAATTATTAATGATACTTAAATTTCATGCTTAGTAATTTCGAGCTACTTAATAAGTATTAGAGCTACTTAAATTTTATACTTAATGATACTTGATCTACAATTAATGAAGAATATTATCCATATTACATTTGTCGATATTTATCTTATTCTTATTCCATCTTGTAATTAAAATGGTACGGAAAATCAAAGAAAAACATAAAAAATTATATTATATTATATTGGATATCAAATGTTTATCATTAGTTGCAAAAATTTAATCTTAGCTAAAATTTTGAGCTACATTAATTTTTCTAAAGTTGATTTTTAATAAAATATTTAATATGGTTAAGTATTGGTGAATTCTTGATTTTTTATTTAAAAAAAATTATATTGAAATTTAAATATAACTAGTTAGTCATTGAAAAAAAAATAAAAATAATTAGAAACCTCCAGAGCTCCGGACCAAACCAAACATAAATGAACCATCCCGATAGTCCTTAAACTGAACCGAACCATATCGAAAAATATAAATTTTGATCCGAACCGAACAGAGATTCCAGTACAGTTCTGGAGATTGAATTAAAGTAATCTCCAAATTTCGATATGATTCAAGACATTTTCTAATCTCCGAGTCCTACCGACTCATGCTTACCCCTAATTACCTAATACCATACCTTAGACTATGTTTGGATTAAAGGATTTGAAATTCCTTGAATTCAAATGCTTTGAAATTCAAATTTGCTACTTTTAAACTACTTGAATGACTTTGTGGCATTATCTAGATCGCATCGATGGAGTTGGCGCGCGGTGGTGATAAATCTAAATGAAAGTCAAACTCGAAGAATTTCTAAAGACTTTAGAAATTTTGGAATATTTAACTTATATTTTTTAAGACTTTTAAAAATTCTCTTAAAAATTCTGGGTATTCATTTGACATTTTAAAAAGTCTTACAAAATAATTATGTATTTAACGTATTTGAGACTATGATTTATTAAAACTTTTTATGATTTGTTGGAATTTCAGAAGAATAAAAACTTTATACGTTTACTCCAAATATCACCTGAAGACTTAGGCTGTGTTTGTTAAAGGAAAATCTCAAGTCAAATTATTTCTACTCAAAATCTAACTCAAATTTAACTCAACTCTACTATCCTCAATATTATCAATATAATTAAATAATAACAATCA